TTATCATTTTGCTTTTTATTTTATAATTGATTAAAAACAGCAAAAAAATATCTGGAAACAAAAAATGAAACAATAAAATGATAATTTTTAATGCTAAAATATAAAATAAATAAATCAACATTTTAAAAATAAAAACAAAGTACGGTGTTATATTAAGTAAATTCAGCCTTTTATTTCTTTCGATTTAATTGTGCAATACATGTTTTTCTACTTCTGTTTTTTGTGTCCTTTAAAAATGTGCGGTCTTTATTCATTTCGGAAAACTATTTTCTCTACGTACATAGCTCATACAAGTTTTTATAAAGACTGCATTAATCTTGTTTTTTGAATAGGTGCCAGTGATTAAAGCTTTGGTTAATTTATTTAGGAATAATTGATATACTTATAATTTAAGAGCAGTGGTGCTGCAATCGATTTTCAATTTTTTAATCTGAACAGTCTCTAGTGAGTTGAAGGTAAGCATGAGTTGGATGTTTGCTTCCTAATGCAGAATGCAGCGCAGTGTTCGCTGAATTTCGCTTTATTTAAATATTTTAACAATCATATTTTTGATAATTACATTTCATCATATAATTGTGGACTGACTTCTTAGTTAAATACGAAAAGGAGACACCCACTACATCAAGTAAATAAAAAAATTATTTATTCAAAATTGAATGTTGTAAGAAAAACTTTCGTTTGTATTTTGGCAGATCTAAATTCATGCATAAAGACAGAGTGCGTTTTCCGTGATGTAAACTGCGCAGTATGCATGAAGCAAACAGTTCGAAAAAACAAATCTGACATCTTTGCTAAAATTAAAAGGTCGAAAGAGCATCACTGACCCAGCTATTGCACAAAAACACGCAAAACTTGCAAAATTTTAAAAGTAGTTGCACAAAATGTAACAACAAAACCCACTTGACTAGCTAAAGTGTCGTTGTAAGTGATTTATGTTAAATAAAATTATATTATATTTGTTGATTCGTTCCCATTTTTTATTTTATGTTAAAAAGATAATACATTTCTTTTTTTACACGATTAATTTTTTTACTCTTCGAATAAAAATCGATCATTTTTACTATCTAACTTATCTGTGAGAGTATTATTAAAACATTTTGTTCACATGCGCAGTTTTTAGTAGTCCCATGCAATGGCACCAACCATCTTAAAATCTGCATTGCAAACTGCGCAGCATTACCAGTATTAACCGCAAAAGCCCGTATTTATGAACAAGGTTATGACAAATTATACGTAAACACTGTTAGAATGCAATTACTAAAATTATTTCAGCAATGTCATATTTATTCCTTCAATAGGATTATATATTTTAAGTTCGAAAAAAGATGGTAACAGAAATATTGAAACGTAAGTCCTTTAAGTTGGGGGTATGTGTTGGGGATATTTATGTTTATTAAAAAATAAATACATGCATACATAAATACGTTAATTTTAATTTCAAAAATTCATTGATTATTATATTACACGTATGTATGTATACGTATATACGTGACATATATACAAGCACACGCTACTTACTATATGTATGTCTATGTTACAATATAAAGAAATAAAATTTTATCGCATTTCTTAAGGAGTACTCGTTTCTTTTATTACTATCACTTAACTTCATCACAAGTGTTTATTAAACCCCATAAAAAGACTAAAACAGAATATAAAAATCGTAAATATTGACGCCAAATGTTATAACCTATTCTGAATATGTACTGTGTATGTATTTCTTTCTGTCACTTATTAGTTAATGAATAAACTGTATAAAATTTGTCTGTTTGTGTGCGCATGCATACATTCACAGTTACATTAATCCAAAAGTCCATACAAAAAAGTGTATGTGTGAAGAAGTAACGATAAAAATATGATTGTATAAAATTATAATATATATTGAATTTATTATAACTAACTAGATTATATAAAATTAATTAATGTAAAACATTTAATTATAAATGATAAACGTAAGATAATACCATCACAATGAAGTTTGCAAATGTGTGATGTCTAAACACAGAATAAAACTAATGATTCCAAACTAACCTTATTACCAAAACAACAATATAGACAACCAGGAAGAAAGAGAAATTTAAATGAGAATAAATTTAGAAAATAAATTAAAAGGAAAAATAATTACAAAAATAAAAACATACTTTATATTCTTTGGGGTACATTTGTGAATTTTAGTGGTCTGGGAGAAGGTTTTTATACCCTGTAAAAGGTAAGATTAAGCTTACCAAGAAGTTTGTAAGACCTAGAAGAAAACGTAGGAGACCCTATAAGTATTCATGTAAATGGTCAGCATGACCATCTGAGTCGATTTAGCCATATTTCCTTATCCATCTGTCTGTATATATGCGCACTAGATCTTCAATTTTACAGATATCGATCTGAAAAGTGAAAAAACGATCGAAATAAAGTGCTGGAAAAGAAAGCTTTTTCACTAATTTATTATTGTTTAAGGCGATGATGCAATCTCCGGAGAAATTATTCAGATCGGTTCGCAATACCATATAGATGTTATACTAACTGAACGATCGGAATCAAATGACACGATATTTTTAGCACCGCTATTAGCCTGCATAATATTCCTAACTGTTGAAAAATATATATTTTCTTAAACTATACTCATTTGAACGAGCATACTGTACGATAAAGGTACTTCCGATAAAAATATATGCTATATTTTAACGTGTGTACTACTATGTGGGAGTAGGCATGGTACTGCTTTTGTCTTAAAAAATATTTTCCCAGAGTCACGGGATGTATATACTTATATGTATATCTACTTACTTTTTTTTTACTAATATTTCAAGTGATAAGCTACATGAGTATTTTTTATTTATTCTTATCTTCAGAAGTATAGAAAAAGTAAAAAATCATGTTCATATTTTTCAACCGTTAGTTACAAAGATTTCGTTAATTAAACGTGACCCAGTTATTCAAAAAGTTATTTTCATACGGTTAGTTCTATTTCGTTTGTTTTAGAATGTGCAGCGTCAAATAAAAAACGCTTTTCATTGGAAAATAAATTAGAAATTGAGAACAGCTCTTAATGGTCGTTTTGTACAACACGAAATAAATCTAAAATCGATGAATACGTTTAAAAACGCAACACACGAAATCATTTCCTTAAACAAAGTGAATCTTATAGCAGGGATAATCTGATGCCCAACTTATTCCAGTGTGAGAGCGCCTCAAAATAAGCGTTTTTTTATAACATTTTCCATTATGGCCAGATCGAACAAAATAAGAATTTTTGGGTATTTTAAATTAAAACCCCCAACATTTATTAGGATAGCAAATTATTATATATTGGACTTTTAATATATGGCCAAATTACTTAAACCCTAGTTTATGATTTTATGGTATATTAAAACAATTAACTTTTGATCTTTCAATACTTAATAAGGTGAATTAAGCTTGTTGATTCTCAATTATAAAATATTTTTAGTGATTTATAATTGAAAAACAAAAATTTCGTTAGTTAAACGTTGCTCAGTTATTCAAAACATTATTTTAATACGGTTAGTTCCATTTCGTTTACTTCTATTATGCATCAGATTACAAAACGTTTCATGAAATTTATTTAAATTTAGCATTTTCTTTGATTATCATTGTTTGTAATTCTTCTTACTTACATTCTTCTACTCTTGTAGTAAGTAATTCTTCTTACTTACATTCTTCTACTCTTGTTCTGATAAATCCGTTTTTACTTTGGCAATTATTTATCTATGTTAACGTTATAGTTGAATTGCTTAAGCAAATATTTTTAATTCACTGTTGATAACCGTTTTTATCCTTTGTAGCAATTTAGCAAGTAGGTGAGCAGCGCATAGTTCTAGTTTTGGTAACGTTTTCTTATTTTTAATTGGTTTTACCAGAAGCTATTGTTATAACTGATCCAACTTTAGCATATACAACTGATGCATACGCTTTCTCTGAAGTATCTGCGAATCCCTGTAGTTCAAATTAAAAGTTGGTTTTAGTTTCAAACCATCTAGGAGTTTTTATTATTTTTACCTCTGGTATACTATGCTGCATAAACTCTTGCCATTCTTTTGTTAAATTCTCGTCAAGTAACTCGTCCCCGTTGAGTTTAATCAACCAAAGGGTCTGTATAAACAACTTTGCTATAACGGTTGTTGGTGAAAGCCATCCCATTGGGTCGAAAATTCGCGCTAAATCAGACAAAGCTTGTCTTTTTGTAATTAGATTTTGCGTTGAAAGATTCGTATTAAATCCAAATATGTCTTTAGTAAGATTCTATTGAACACCCAATGTCTTTATTATTTTGCCTTCTGCTATATTTATTACATCCACTTCCTTAAGTGAAACCCATATCTTTGTAGTTGTTTCCTCACATTCATCTATTGAATCTGCTCCTGTCTTTAAATCGTCCATGTAGAAGTCGTTTTTAATTATGTTTGAAAGCAAATAGTTGTGAGATTCGCAGAATTTGGAAATTTCTTGTAAAGTTCTCATTGCCAAGAAAGCAACTGATGCTGTCCCATGCGAAACTGTTTATAGTTTTTATTCTTCTATCGGCTCTCCTTTTGTTTCTCTCCACAATATACGTTATTAATCTTGATCACTCTCTGTTATTTTAATTTGTCGAAACACCGTTTCAATATCATTTGTTAATACGCCAAAGTTTCCATTTCATTATAATGTCAAATATATATTTTTGAAGTATTTGTCCATGAAGAAGATGTCGTTTAAACTACTTCCATTTGTAGTTTTGGCAAACGCATCGAAAACTACTCGTAGTTTAGTCGTTAGACTACCTTCTCGAATCGCTGCTTGATGCCCAAAGGCCTTGGATTATACACAGTGCAGTTGTATAAAATGCGGCTAAAAGTGGCTGCTTTTGATTATCCCATTTAGCTGGATTTCTAACTCGTATTGCTTCTACAGCTTGATATTGCTGCTCCAGAAAACTGAACACATCATTTAGGCTCTGTATATCTTGACTTTTTTTTACGTCTTGCTCGTAGAAACGTAGATTTTCTTTGTCTAGTGTGCGAAGCTCTGATAGCTTCTTCGCTTAAATTCAAATTTAGTGCTTTTAAAGCATAAATGCATTCCTTTATGGTATCCAACAGCTGCTTCATGCTTGCTACACTTTTTCCATTTGCTGACGGTTGATAAAGTAATCTGTTTAATTGTAGCCTTATATTAACATATCTTTTCTTGAGAATTTGCCAAGCGGCTCATAATTCGTTTCTGTTACTAGTAGATGTTGAATTAATCTACCAGTTTCTTCACCTAATGATGTCTTCAATCGGAAAATCTTTTCCACTTCAGTAAAATGCTTCGAATCATGCTCCAAACTTTAAAAAAGATCGCGGAATGACGACCATTGTTTTATTTCACCATAAAACATCGGAATTTTAATTTCCTGCAGTTTTTATTAGAACACATTGTTTTTGTTGTGTTACAATTGTTTAATTTTTCCGCTATTTTTGCGGTGATAATTTTATACTCTTGCCGGAATTCCTCTATTTTTCAACGATTCAATTATTTCTTTTAATTTGATATTTCGAACTTCAAAATATGCTTCTTCTGCATTTTCAAATTGTATTTCAAGCTTGATTTTGAATTCTCTCAGAAGCAGCTACAGGTGGCTCGACCTGGTTAGCTTGTGACATAGGTCCTATTCCCACTTTTAAATTCTGAATAGAATTTTCCATTATTTGTATTACATGCTAGTAGTAGTCTTCTGCTTCTTGACTTTTCTTAGATATTCTTTTATTATGGTTTGTTGTAAACTCTGTTATAACATTCTGAATATGATCATGAAGCCTTTCTAATCTTTCCGCTGAGAATTTTCCAACGCAGCAAGATCGCCCAACTTCTTCTGTCCTTTTTTAGCAAATTCTCCATATTTACTTCTTTTTTGTTGATTTTTGTTGATAATTTTTTTTAGTACTGTACTCGTTGTTATAAACACAAGGACGCTTATAACGCTTTTTCGCTTCTACTATACATACTTACGTGTATATATGCCGATGGTCTTTGCTATTCCGGCTTACATTTAACTTTATTTTGCTAAGTAATGAGTAATGCCTTTTTTGTTTTTAGAGGCTTATAATACTTGCTCTTTATTTTAAGCTCAGCTTTAAACACTGATTTAGTCGGGCGCTTCTTTTTTTATTTCGAATTGATTAACAGTGTTGTCTATGCTGAACCAGAGAGAGTTTTAAGTTTTCTGGCTGAACTGAATTGATTTGATTGTATTTTTGGCACGACTGTTTGTTCTAATTTTATCATACTCGTTGCATACTCTGGTAAGTACACATACGTACACACGCTTGATACTTTCTTATCGGTTGTTGCTTGTGTGCATTCAAATTTGGAGTATTTATGTTTTGTATATTTAAAGTATTTTTATGTATACTCTAATTTATGAATTTTTCTTCGATAGGTAATGATTTTTTCGTTTTTATGAGCAAGCTTCATTTTACAATTTTGTTGCTTACCATTGTACTTGACATTTAGTGGACTATAATACTTTTTATTTAACTTATTGTTTACATGTGTGTTCATGTATTTGTGTCAAAAATATAGCCTTCTATATATAATTCCATTCAATTTAATGTTATAAAACTCACATAGTCATATATTTATGTACAAAGTTTATTAATTTTCTTTTTGTTATTCTATTTTCTTTTATTTGTGTATAACAAAGGTGATCTTCACATACATATGTATGTATGCTCATTCCTTGAGTTCCTTTATAAAGTGGTGTAGATCATTGAGTTGGATGGAGGATGGATTGAGTCATGTGTAGACGAAAGATCTTTGACTGCCATTCACTTCGGAGTGGCCTGAAAAGAATATTTTTCATATGGCTCAAGCAGCTCACGACTTCTGGTCCTAAACCAAGTAGTCTCTGGGTAGTCAAAGAACATCCGTTTGAAGGCGAGTTAAATTGAGAAGGCGAACCATACCTCCTACGGGTTGTGCGCTGGGTTTGGGACCCGCCACGTAAAAAACGCCCTCAGTGGAAAATTACCAACAGCGCGCACAATTGTAAGGGGTTCTTAAAAAAAAAAAAAATATTTTTTGTTTGCTTTTTCGAAAAATATACACTTTTACAAAAATATCCTGTGAAATCGGCAATGTCGTACCTTGAATAGTTTTTACATGGCAGCGTTCTAAGGAGCGATTGCTTGCAGGTATAAAGAAAAACTTATGAGTGAAACTTTAAATACACATTTCTCAAAATTGCTGATATCATAACTCCACAAGAAATTGACCGATCGACTTAAAACTGAGTATTGTTGAATACAATTACTATACAATGACATACGATATTTTGATTGGTTGGAAATTGTGAATTTAGCATTAAAAAGAAAATTTTTGTATGGGAAATATCTTTAAGTTTAGTCATTCGGCCGGAATCATGTCAGCAGTTGGGACAATCACAAAAATCGACGAATTTTCCAAGCGTTAGACTGGTATAGCCCCTTAATCGGCTATAACCGCGTAAGCGGTATCTACGCTTGTAAAGAAGAAGAAGAACAACATTGAGTTCCCTTAAGTGGTGAATGTTCCTTCGTGTCGTGGTGTAATTTCATTTTTCCGCGCTTATTTTTTGTTCCTTCATAATAATTTAGTACAGCTAACATTTCTCTATTTATTAACATCCTTTGCTTCACTCATGAACATTCTCTTGATTAACTACCTCGTACAGCGCCATCTCTATGTGGAAATTTATTTAAAAAAATTTATTGGTTTAAAAATGTGGCAAGTCTCTTACAGGTACTTTTATTCGGATTAAATTCGGACATATTTGTTTTCGCTGGGCGGCGTAAATGTGATGAAGAGTGAAAAATTCTGTAATGCCATCAATTGAGTATTAGTACGGTAGAAGGTTTTATAAAATTTTATAAACATTTCTCAAAGTCTATTTTACACTAAATAATACTGTAAAAGTGGCGGTGTTAAATATTTGTAATTATAAAGGCTGTGTCCAAGGAGAGCAGTCGTAAATAGTGCAATTTAATTTATATTAAGTGTAAGCAGTAATACTTAAATCTATGTATGTAAACGTTAAAAATTACAATAATTATATATCTTTAAGTAAGCCAAAGAAAATTAGTAAAAATTACTTGGAAAATATCTGCAAAAGATATTCGTGTCTGGATGTTCAAGACCTGTGACTTGTGCGCAAGAACGGGTTTGTAAAAAAGTGCATTGTTCATTTTGAGCTAAAGGCTGTCCTGTGGTGTAACATTAAGTCTCGTTTGTATGTACTCTTAATAAATTTACCTGTAGCATACTACCTTTTGGTATATTTGTTGAATTTTTCGGAAATAAATAATATTTCACACAAGCATTAAAAATTTTGTACTCCAGACAATTAATAACTGAGCTTTATGTACACAATGGATGAATATATAGAATATAAATTAAAATTTATTTTTTTAATTACCATTAAATTTCTTAGAGAATGTTTCAACTACATTTAGCATTTGTAGTTTTCTAATACTCCTTTTCATTTCAGTGATTTTGATACTGATGAAATTAATAGCATTTCTATTTTACCCATCTACAATTTATTCTGCCCAACTTCTGGCTCTTCCATTCGTTATCATATGCGAAGTACTTATGTATGTAATAAAAATTGGATGCTGAATTGCTTTATACTAGAGTACGAAAGTCAATACAATTCCTTCACTTTAAATATTGTTTCTTTATTAATATGTCAAGTGCGACATTATATAAAACTATATGCATAAACATTTTGTTTATTCTAATATGACTTATTAACATATTTTAAAAATTTTATTGTTTTCTAATGTTTTATTTGGGAGCATTTAATGGATGAAATATTCTTACAGTTAACGCGGGGTTTTATGCAATTTTTTTTATTTATGTTGATATTCCTTTATTATTTTCAAATGTTGTAATTCAATGTTGCCACAAATACAGTTAAGTTTATATTTTTCTACTTGCTACTCTTAAAAACCAGATAACTAACGCGATTATCAACCATTTCCTGTCTCGGTTCTAAATTGGCTTTTATTTCCCAATGGTAGAAGAATGATACAACCTTTATAGTTTCAATAACAAAAAACGTTTTTCATATACAACAAAATGTTGGGTGAGGGCATAGAAAGTTACATTATTACGAGAGCAGAATCATATGCTTTTGTTGGGTTCATATCTAAACATTGATTTTAAAAAGTTTAAAAATATTTGAGTTTAAACTTTACATATGTTGGTTTTGAAAATAAATCGATGAAACAGTGGTCGGCAAAATTAAGTTAACATCCAAACATTCGGTTTAGTGTTTTTGTTATTTATTACCCATATGATTGCTAGTGCCTGAGCGTGGAAATTGGTATTCCTAACTTTTTCCCTATTTATGCTTATAAAAATGACCAGAAATAATGCAAAGTCGCATACGTGTCATTAATGCACAAACCTTTTTTTCTTTATATTATTTATTTTTTGTTATTGCACCTGCAGAAACATTTTCCGAATAATTTTGAAAAAATATTGTCGAACCGAAAGAGTTCGGGATCATTTCGGCTGGTTGTAGAAATGGGCACATATATAGATAAGTATTTTCATACTGCAATAGAAGAAGCAGATGCAGATAAAAATATTTCTCGAATGTCTAAATATTTATATGACTTATTAATAAATACATATGTATTATATGTATATGCATACATCATAGAAATTATTTGAAACCGGACTTATTTCATTATTTTTTGAAATATTTGTTTTATAATTCTTATACAGGTGAATCATGAAACAGATTAATGTGTCCGTAATAGGTCTTTCGGGGACTGAAAAGGATAGGGGTCAAGTTGGTGTTGGAAAATCATGCCTCTGCAACAGATTCATTCGTCCGATGGCCGATGATTACTTTATTGATCACATATCAGTGTTGAGTCAGGTAGCTAACCAAAAGAAGGCATATAATAATATGTTATAAATGTGTTTCATTTGTAGAGTGACTTTAGTGGACGAATTGTTAACAATGATCACTTCTTATATTGGGGAGATGTGCGAAAAACCACGGAAGATGGAGTGGATTATAATTTCCAAATAATTGAACAGACGGAGTTTATGGATGATTCCACATTCCAACCGTTTAAGGTTGGGAAAATGGAACCATATTACAAGCGTTGTATTGCCACTAAAGTATTTTCAGCGGAAAAGCTTATGTACATATGTAAAAACCAATTGGGGATCGAGAAAGAGTATGAACAAAAAATAATGCCCGAAGGCCGACTGAGTATAGATGGTTTCATTGTGGTATTTGATGTGAGTCCTGTGCCAAATCGACCGGTTGAAAAGCAAGTTGACTTTGTTCACAATGTCATAGTAAATATATTGAAAAATAAGAAACCAGTTGTGCTCGTTACAACTAAAAATGACGATTCCAATGAAATATATATACGGGAGGCCGAAAAAATTTGCCAGCGTAAGGAATATAAGGGTTTGATTCAATTGGTCGAAACATCCTCTCATGAATCTATAAATATAGATTTAGCTTTTATACTTCTTGCTCAAACTATAGATAAAGTGAAAAGTCGTGTAAAAATTACTTCATACTATGAGGCTGCGAAATCACGAAAAGAACTATTGGACACACGTTCTGAAGCTGTCACGAGACTAATTCGTAACCAAATAATTGATTACCATGTGCTTTGGTCGCAGGGATCCAAAATATTAGCACAGTACAGAGAATGGACAGAATTCTTAAACATTTTTGGTGTAGAAGCTGGTCAAAAGCTCTTCAGACGTCATATGAAAAAGCTTCGTGATGATCATTTAAATAATAAACTCAATGAGTACATTGATAAGTTTGCCAGTGTATTGGAGTATCTTTTACCCGACATAAGTTCTTTGGGTACAGTAGATGAAAATATATGGGGAAATGCCAAAGGCATATTGAGAAGCCATCCTGATTTTGATCGGCATTTTTTTGAGTGCCCTCAAGCTTCATGGACGGAATTAGTTGATATGGAAGAAACCGAAGACGAAGTTCGTATTCCATTCGATGTATTGGATACTCCGGAAGCGGAAACAATATTTCGAAATTATGTTAATGCGGTGCAGCAAGATAAGAAAAAAATTGGGTAAGTCTGTTCAGACTGTTTATTGTAAATAATATGAAATATTGAAAATATTTCGATCGCTTCCATTCTACTTACAACAATCATAATCAAACGATAATTTACAATTGTTTACATATTCCATATCTGTAATATTATTAATTTTATTTTATCTTTTATTATATATTAATTAAATATTATTCTCTTGTTTTTAATATCCTAGTTGGAAGCATCAATTTAAACTATTATTGGAAGAATCCGGCTTTGTGACCCCAGGTAAACAGCTATCAGAGGTGCGCGTGCTTTTCATGGGTCGTGAATGCTTTGAAGCTTTATCAGAACATGATTGCCAACAAATTTATGACATTCATCAAGATGAAATTATCGAGAAAAGCAAGCAAAACTTTATAGAACTATTGTTAGAAAACGCACAATTCTTCCAGCAGTTTAAAAATGTTGATATAATTACTCAAGAAGATGTTCGGGCAATTACAGATCTTATACAGGACGATTCCAGGTAAATTATATATAATACTTTTAGTTATAGAATATCTATAATCTCAAACAAGGTTCTATCGGGCGGTAAGCCAATAATGCAGTTTAAATCGCATTGCATGAAAATTATTTAGTTGTTATGTTGCGGCACGCATGACGTAATTGCCTACAATAATATATGGCCTTGTCCACGCTCGAACCCAAATATGTCAAGATTTGGAAAATATTTTTCCTCTAGGAAGGATGATAGACCTAGCTCACTGTCGTGAAAACATCTACACGCCTAGGGTGATCCTCCACCAAATTTCAACGATTGACATATGTTGGGATTTAGCATTCATCTGACCCTATGCGTTTAATTCTAGTTCCATCCGACCAAGTAATTTTCATCGAGTCATCAACGGTAAAATATTCAAATTTTTTTTTAGCGAATTTTAAATTTGTTCATTTATTAACACTCTAGTCACTCAGACTATGTTTATTTATTTTCGAATTGTTTTGTGACAAATGAACTCCATGAACACCCTTAATAACTTTACTAGTATCTACCGCAGAGCGCCAGACACGATTAAGCGCCTGGCTGTTGCTATTGTTGGAGATAATCTTTTTGGACGAACACCAGTCTTCTAGGGAATAAAAAATTACATTGTTTTTTCATTTTGTAAATGAAGCCGAGTCATATAAAAAAAAAATCCCATAGGAAACATCATTCTCAATGACTTCTTCCTGATGGAATATTTTATAGCTTTCTCCATTAAACGTAACTAAAAAATTTAAAATTATTGTATATATTTTCTTTAAAAGAACTAGAAAGATAATATTTACATACTTAATAATATTTTTCGCACAAATTTCCTCACATTTATGCTTCAACGAAATTTGTCAAGTACCGTTACTAGAAAAATGATTGCCAAAGTAATATTAATTAATAATAATAACATGCACCATAGACAGTACAAAAATATTCATACAATATATTTTGATAATACATATTTATATTTCGTGAACAGTTTAGGTCCTTACTGTATGGTAATAATTATCGAAATACTCCCCTACTTTCCTTTAGCTTTGCATATTATTTATCTAATCTGGGCGTGCAGACCACATAAATTCATATTTAAACATTAAATTCATATTTAAATGATAAAGAACAGTTTCGTTATTTGGCTAACAAAAAAAAAAAAAAAAGAATTTTGACGAAATATTTATATCACGGGGTATGCGTCTGATTCCCCTCATAATGAACTGCTAATTTTCAAAATCGGAGATTTTGCGAAATTTTCATGGACCACTTCACGTGGTTTGACCCAATTATAATTGCAAATTTCTACTCAATATACACATTTTTCAGGTATAAAATATTAGACAGACTTGATCAGGAGCGACGGGTGATCCTATTTCAACATTTGGGCTTTATACACTGCCCCATACGCGAGCATTGTCCTTTCTTCCATAATTGCGTTGATAGTTTGGTAGATGAATGCTTGGTCGATAAGTCGCCAAATCAGAAGAATTCCAGCAACTGGAAGTCTTCGAGCTCCGACAGAACTTTAAATTTATTAATAGTGGGATCCGAACATCTTGCAAGTGATTTGCTTAATGATATTCGAATGTGCACGGGATCAAAAGGGGAATATGTTTATGAGAACCAAACCTATTACCTAAATTATCGCATTGCCAATGGAGATATGGAAGCATTTAAGTCAATTGATGTACATTCGAGTGGTAAGTCTTCTAGCTTGTATTATATATC